TTTCGTCCGATTTTACGTAAATGGTGCACCAAAGTCTCTATATATCTTTCTATTTGCACGAAATTTAGCATATCGTATTCAATTAAGTCTAGAATGATATGTGCTAAGTTTCGTGAAAATCGGTTCAGATTTAGATATAGCTCCCATATATATTTTTGTCCAATTTAAGGTAAATGGTGTACCAAAGTCCCTTAATATCTTTCGGTTTGCACGAAATTTGGCACAGTGTAATGAATTAGGTCTAGATTGATGTGTGTTAAATTTCCTGAAATCGTTGAAATCGGTTCAGATTTAGATATAGCTTCTATATCTGACCAAATGACCATTTTGATGGTCCTTTTAAAATGCGACGTCTGTTAGGATTCATCTGTTGAATATACCCAAAGTGGTGAAGGGTATCACATAGTCGGCCCCGTCCGACTTTTCTACTTTCCTTACTGGTTTATAGTCGGATTTCTAACCAAAGTGGAGGTTTCACAGAAAACGTTTGCATATAGGTCCATGTTTTGACATTGTATCCATATATAGTGTATTTTCAAAGTCCTACGTTTAATTTACAATCTTTGTATTCTTCCGGATTCTTGCACATAGATTTTTCAATATAGGTACACAAAAAGGTCCTAGCTGAATTTTCTCTTCTATATGTATGCAGTTTTTTAAGGAGGACTGACAATCAATCAAAACAATGTAGATCCATGTTTTGCCACTACTCGAAGTTTTTATATTTTATTACCTTTACCATTTAAAACCAAGTTCGCACTAATTTTTATAAAAAAAATATATGATTGCAAATTAAAACTATAACTAATGCTTTAATTATAATCTGTACATAAAAAATACCACCGACATAGATTGGACAACTACAGCAATGCTTTAATATACAAATCATGTCATTTTGGGTTAATACTGCTACCATAAGAAAAAAACAAAACTAGGGAGTGTTTTATTGCACATTCAATTTAGCTGTAATTTTGCTCCATATTTCTTTATTTTTTGTAAATAAAAACAAAACTACAACAACAGCCCCAAGATGTCAAAATTTAAAAAGTCATAAACCAGTTTGCAATTTAAAACACAATTTGTTTTAAGACTAATATGAAAGTCATGGGGAGGGGAAACACTCTGCAAGATATTTAGCCAAAAGAAATTGAAATTAATGTACATATGCTTGTTTCCTAAGTCTTTTGTTTCTCATTTGGGTGGTGTTTATGTTTTATGACCACCATTTCTCTATGGTCTCATTGCAGTTTATTAATAAAAACAAACAAACAAGTTTTTTTTTGTAATTTAAAGAAATTTATAATGTGGAAAATTTGTTTGACCTCCCATGAAAGTATTTCATTTAAAAAGTTTATGCTTGTCTAATTTTCGGGGGTTTTTTTTGAGCACCAAAAAAAGTGAAAATTAGCCTAAGCCATGGAAAAAGGGGGAATGGGGAGCCAGAAAAACATTACATTTAATTGAAAAAAAGAAACTAGAAAGAAATAACGTTTGTTATTTTTCAACATCCACAAACAGCTTAGGTTTTGTTTTTCAATAGATACACAAAAAATCATTCTTAGTTTGGTAATGCTAAATGGATGCTAACCAAAAAAACGTACAGCCAAACTGACTGACAGCCAGTCAGCCATCCAGCATAGACAAAGAAAAAATCTATACCCCACAAATGTAATAGAATCAAACGAGAAAAAAACTTAAACGCGATATAGGAAATGAAAGAAATTGAAATAAAGAACACCCAATGGCAGGCAGACAATAAGCCACAGCTGTGTTCTCTTGTTTTTTACTTAGATTTAATTCCATCAAACTTCAAAAAAAAAAAAAAAAAAAAAAAATACACCAAAAAAGTGTTCAAAAATATCAAACTCCAGCACTTCTAACAACATCTGACCTGAAACATTGAACGAAGTACAACAAACAAGAAATCAAAAACTTTATAAGCAACAAACAACAACACACAAAATCCAGTCTTAAAAAATACAACAACACAAAAGAGCTTGAAAGGAAACTACAGAAACAAAAAGTAAAAAAATAAAATAAAAAAAGATAAAAGTGGGTTTAAAATCCAGCAAGTTTTTTTTTCTTCATGAAACATAAAGAGAAAAAAAACTAAATACAATGCGACAAAATCATAGCCATACAAAAACAACACCAACAAATAACAACATCTTTGGGCCTTCATCAAAACGTCTGGCTACAAACTTTAGCGAACTTTTTGAATTGTCTTTATTCGTTAAACCTTTGCTGTTGTGCGGTTTAAGCCACAATTCAAACGCAAGCAACTGCGGTGAAATATGCCTGCTCATACGAGCACACCAAGCATCAGTTAACATTATTCTATGCTGTCTGTATGTACTCCTCCAAAAACTACAAAATGTAGCTCTCACTCCAGCCATACACACGATGATTTCCAGGTTTTGCTTGAAGCAACGGGGAAACCAGTTTCAGGTGGCCACCAATGTAGTCACTTTAGCCATTGTACGACGGTATTACCTTCCAAGCCAACTTGCTTGATTTGTCATACTCTTGAGTTTCTTTAGAAATCTCTTCAATACATGTAGTGGTGAGTTCATGTATTCACCCTTGTCAATGTATGGGTAAAACAAACATGGCCGCTTTGCAAATAAATCCGATAACTTGTTTCTGTGAAGAGTAAAGACACATGCGTTCTACAACTCATTCCAAATTCATTCTTTAGAATCCACATGATCAGCTAAGATTCAAACCAATGTTGAATTTCTATGCATCCACATTTATCGAATATAGCAAAGATCTGAACCTTGCGAACAAAATGAAGATAATACTTACCCAATTCATGTAAAAACATTGATCGTGAATGATTCCTACCAACCAACAAACATGTATTTCACCTTCACTTACCTTCAATGGTGAATTGAGGTCAGCATTAAACCCAACCTCAATTATTCAACCCAATTGGAATTATAATTCCGTATCACCATAAGACGTAAAAACGTCATTTAGTTTTGTAGGGACCAATCTCTATTAATAAGGTCATCCAGCACAGACCAGTTGGATATCAGCTGCCGCTCAAGTTTGCTGTCAAAATCCATTATTGTGAATTGACTTCCGTTGTGAAAACGTAAACAAAGTCCAAATTTTGAACACTAGAGTTGGGAATTAACAGGTGACTTTCGCTAGTTGGTTGACTTGATTAATGGATATTGACAGGGACTAACTATTCATACCCTACATGTATTTTGACATACAAATAAGTATCGAGTAGTTGATTTTCGATCGTCAATACCGTGAGACACAGTCAAAAGTATTCACTTGGTTTTTATACCCTATATCTCATATCTCTACTAGCTGAGTCGATCTATACATGTATGTCTGTCCGTCCGTCTGTCCATTATAAATTGTAAACACGATACAGACACAGTTATGAACTAATCTTCACGAAATTTTGCATGTAGGATGGGTTCTGGCCAATGAAGACCACTATTGAAATGGACCAAAAACTTAATTTTTGTCTGGCCAAAACATCGCGAAATTTACATAGAGAAGGGGATCGGGCCAAAGAATAAGCATATCTGTTTTGATAAAAGATCGGTCAATATTTAGCGGGCCAAATGGACCCTGAAAAATGTAAACATTTGTATTCTAAAGCGTATACTTACTCCTGAAGGACATAGACCCAAGAAGTTGATATTATATACCAGAGAAGTGGTTGACCTTTAAATTGATACCAATTATATTGTCATATGTACTCGGATGTTGGAGTTACACTTACGTACGTATTCATATATTATTTAGTAGCCCATTACCACACTAGAGGGCCGAAATATAGCGCTGATCACTTTAAAGTTTTCCATGAGGGTGCAGGAATTATAATATTGGGATGAAGTGGACCGAAAACTTAATTTTTTGTGTGTTTTCGAGTCGATTATAGGCCACAACTGAAAGTCGAACATCACAATACATCCCACGGTGAAGCGAATCTGGAGAAGTAATTAAAAGGGCTGTACAGAATATTAGTAATATTTGTTGACCTCTAGTCGGTCAAGAGGGTGCAAATATCGGGAAATATTGGAAGTTGTGTGGGGTCGGCCCCGTCCGACTATACTGCTCCGCTCACTGGTTTTTTATTTGATATTACTTTAGTCGGCAAATGTCGAAAATAGATTTTGAAAATAGATTTGACCTTTTAGCCAAAGACAAAAATCGAAATGTCTAAAAAATCGACTTTTTGGCTAGAGCAATTATTTATCCCCCTCCCCTTCTCATCAATAAGCATAGCTCTTAACCCAAAATAAGCAAAAGCGATGAACAGCCCAAAGGCAAAAATCAAACATTTTTTTGCGCGTCGGGCCTCTGAAATGTTCCATTTTCTTACATTGTCCAAGTTTGCCACTAAGACTTCGACTTTTTAAAATTCAAAAATTTTGGATATTTTTGGACCAACCTATTTGTCCGTTTTAGATTTATACAATTAAGGGTGTTACCACATGCCACTGGAGCCTTAACATTTTGAAAAGCGTAACTTTATTTTGTAAATTTTGCGACACCTGAACCTATTTGCCCGTGTCAGTATCTCGAATTCATTAAAAATTAAAAAAACAATTTTCTCTAATCTGATGTATGTCTCGAACAAATACCTTCAGCCATTCTAGAGATATGGGCTTTCAAATAGATAAAAAAATAAAGTTTTTTTTCAAAAAATGTGAGTCCTCAGTGGAACGTAACCCAAATAATCTGGGGTATAAACACCTTAGTCATGTTCATATGGATGTTTTAAAATAAAATATTAATTCGGCTGACGGTCAGACAGTGGCTTTCTCGCTAGAAGAAGATATAAAGATGCTATTTTTAAAATGTTTTTTAATTAATTTTCAATTTGTCTTACACAAGTAATTTTTGTCCGTAGTCAATACATGTTCGATGAAGCGCCCACGTTAGTAATATAATAGTACCCTGATTTTTATTATTAATTTATATGAATACTTACTAATCCATATCAAACCGTTTTTTTTTATTTCCAGGTCTTATGGCATTTGGATGCCTTTCGCAGATCCTTCCGGTCATTGAATCAGCATGTTTGCAGTGGCCAAGACTGTATTTTTTGTGCGCTAAAGGTAAGTGAAAAAATTTGTTTCAATTTTTCTAGACACAATCTATTGCCAAGTTTGAAGAGATCACTAAAGAGTTTAGAGCCCTAAAAGTATGCTATAAAATCGTTTGAAATAATTTTTAACAATCCCGAGGAAAGAAAAAAATGGCATTATTTTTGAGTGATCCTCAACAAAGTACAATTCCATCAATTTGGCTCCATCAAAAAGTAAGTCTAGTGTTCACTTGGCTTACTTTTCAACAGTGATGCCAATTTATATCAAACTAGGTATTGTGGACCAGTCCAAAGCCTAGTTTATTATAAATTGGCATCACTCTTAGCGAAGATTATTTTAAGTTTGTCTTTACTTTTAATCGACGTTGCAAACCACTAAATAAATTTATAAGCCTGGCGTCGAAGGCCATTACAAAATGGCATCACTGTCATTAATATTTTTAAAAGTTATGTCATGTATTAGTATTATGTATTATGTAACAACAATAAACTTGGCATCATTTTTTAGTGATCACACTTAAATAACACCTTTTTTGGCTGTACTTAATTTTGGCGAACAGTGAATTTTCTCTCAAACTTGGTAAATAGATTGTGACAAAAATATATATACTTTAATCGTAAAAAATGCATTGTCAAAATTTAAATGTGTGGGTTTGTGTCTCCGTTTTTGAGACATGGTGTTACATATATATTTATTTTTTAAACAAAAAATGTGGTGGAAAATTGTAAAAAAATGTTGGTAAGCGATTTGTTGTAAAAAAAATGAAGTGATGAACATTAATAAGACCTGCATGTTAATGTGAAGAATATATTCCGGCAGGTAAATAAAAATATATTAAAATGTTTTATTTTTTAAGACAATTAAAAAAAAATAAATTTGAAAAACTTCAGAAAAGAATCCAACAAAGATTCTGTAAAAATGGAAATAAATAATAATATTAATGTAAAAGTGATATAATGAATACTTAGGTGATATCTTATTGACGAGGTACTTAGAAACTGAAAGCAATGGCATGGTCTTATATAGAGGTTTAGACCAATTTTTGGTATTTTGCTGGTTCATCTTTTTACATACTCCCATTTAATGGTTTTGTCATATTTTAGGACATATTTTACAAACAAAATGTCATTGATAATACTGGTCTATAATATTGGCCGCATTTACCAACCGAAGTGGCTTCTCTTTGACCTAGACAAAATTCACCATTTTTCTTAATAAAAATGCACTAATAGGCATGTTGATCAATGAATTAAATTATATTCTTTCTTATATGTGAACATGAGCATATTAACTTAAAATTAATCCAATAAAATAAACAATTTTTATGTGAATTCAATATAAAAAATAATGATTGTTAAACAAAAGCAATTGCAACCTCACAGTGAAACGTCTCCAAGATAACAGTTTTTGTATAACAAACTGATTGTTTTGATGGTTTATACTTAGTATCTTTTACAGCTTTCAGCTTGCCGGAATAGATTTTACCATGCTTTCCGTGTAAGATTGTCAGATTTTTCCCCTATTCTCTTTGTAAATCATTTTTAAGACTTGGTATACTTGAGATGCTATAGCTTCTAATTTTTTTTTCCAAAAATACTCTGAGGAGTTGTTTGAATCATTTCTGGACAATTTTAAAGTATCCATTCTTGAACGATTTGGGACTTGTGTTTGGGGTCATAATTTTGATAAAATTAGAATATTGTCCCCAATCTCAATTTTTCAGCTCAACATTTCAAATTATCTTTTAGAATGTTTAAATAATAAATCTTATCCATAATTCCTTCAATAAAAACGAGATTTCCTACTCCGGCAGCGCTCATACATTCCCATACTTTTATGAGGCCACCTCCGGCTTTACATCGCATAATATTTGTAATGGCCTCTTCAGAAGTTTTACTTACCATATAGAATTCAGCTAATACATTACCCATAAAGAAATCGCAAAAATAATAACAGTATTTTTTTGTATAAAGTACATAAGGGTATATTTATTTTCCCGCCAAAATCTTTAGCAAATATTACACACCCATATGCGGAAGCAATTTTATACCGACATAAGGTGACCACTTGTAAGAAATTTCACAGTACTAACTGTTTTTTTCCAAAATACGCCCTGAAAATTGAACAAAAACCGATACTTTAAGACAATCTGCAATAAGACATTCACTTTTATTTTCACACAGTCATAATTTCCACCTTTCCTCTGTCCAAAACGACACATTGGACACCAGATGAACACAAAATGAAAACCATTTTCAAGAAAAAAAAATAATTTTCCTTAACAATTTTCCACAATCTAATTGTTACGTTTTACAACAACTCTATGGTCAATAGCTAGGCTGGGTAATTATCAACCACTTGCACATTTGTTAGAAATGCGTGATTATTTTTTTCTTTTCAAGAGTGTTTTCCCTCTTGATCTCTGGGAGGGCAGGTAGGTTGTTGTATGGCTCAACAACTTGGTCAAAAAGGTTTTCCATAGATTTGATTTTTCTTTGGCCAGGGGAAAACATGTGCGTGTTTCACTAAGTCGTCTTTTTTTCATTAACACACAATAAAATTCCCACACCAAGTTGTACAGGGTGAAATGGATTTATGCGAAATATGTTTCCATCGGAGGGGGAAATTTCTTATTACACATTTGTTTGGTTTCCAGAGGTTTAGAAGAATAAGAAAAAATCCGAAAAACAATTAGTTGGACATGTGTTTTAGCAATTTGCCAGATTCTTAAAACGGGGAGGGGGAAAATTTGAAAATTTCTTATGAGACAACATGTGACTCTCGTAGGTTTGTTGCTTAAGTCTTTTGTTTTAATAATACCGGCAGCAACGATGTAAAACGATCATGAAGAGCATAACTAACTACGATAATTATATTTTTTACACATTTTATTTGTTTGTTGGTTTTTGTTGTTATTGTAATATTTACGAGCAGATTGGTTTATTAAAATGTTAAACAAAATACCGATTGCTAATAAAACATTTTAATTTATATTCTAGGTAATTTATGGCTTTGTGTGATTGTCACGTTTTATTGTTGTGAGTGTGTATGTTTTTCCTTAGTATCTTCTTCATAAAATGTAATACAAGTTTCAATTGTCATTTGTAGGGGGGAGAGGGATAAATAAATTTAACCTTTTCCAGTTATATTTAAGCGGTTCGGAATTATTGCAGTAAAAAAACAAAAGACTTAAGCCACAAACTTAGTATTACAATCACCATTGATTTTTATAATATCCACCATAAGGAATGGAATATTAACATTCCGTTTGCAACACTTTTAAATATTTGTCGGGAGTTCCAGATAATCGTACCACCCCCAACATTCGGTATGTGGGTCATGTTTCAAGGGTAGCCCCCATATAAAATTGACCCAAGTTTCAGGGTAGCCCTCATATAACGATACTCCACAATATAAGGTATTTTAAGGGTTTTGTACAGGTTTTCCACAATAATTGTTTGTAATTTCGGAATATATCGGTCCACGTTTTGGTGTGGGCCACATATAACGGTACTCCCAATATTCGGTATTTTGGAGATTTTTGATAGTTTTCCAACTGAATTGAATCTAATTTGTTATTTTGGGTTACCATTGTATAGCACATCTACTTACCAAAAATTGATTAAAATTGAGCAAATTTCAGGGTAGTCCCCATGTTACGGTACCCCTCAATATTCAATATTTTGGGAATTTAGGTCACGTTTTTCATCTGGATTGGCTGTAATCTGGTATTTTCGGTTCTCATTGAAAAATTTATATCCGTACCAAAAATTGTTAACATTTACCCAAGTTTCAAGATAGGCCCCATATAACGGTACCCCCCATTATTCGGTATGTTGAGAATTTATGACACGTTTTTCATCCGAATTGGCTGTAATTTGGTATTTTGTGTTCTCAATGAATAACTCATATCTGTACCAAAAATTATTAATATAGATCCAAGTTTCAGGGTAGCCCCCATTTAACGGCACCCCTCAATATTCGCTATTTTGGGAATTTAGGGCACGCTTTTCATCGGGATTGGCTGTAATCTTGTATTTTGGGTTCTCATTGAATAACTCATATCCGCACCAAAAATTATTAATATTGATCCAAGTTTCAGGGTAGCCCCCATATAACGGTACCCCCATTATTCTGTATTTTGGGGATTTTGGATAGGGGTTTCATCCGAATTGGCTGTAATTTGGTATTTTGGGCTCTCAATGAATAACTCATATCCGTACCAAAAATTATTAATATTGATCCAAGTTTCAGGGTAGCCCCCATATAATGGTACCCTCTAATTTTCGATATTTTGGGGATTTTGGATAGAGGTTTCATCCGAATTGGCTGTAATTTGGTATTTTGGTTTCTGATTGAATCACACATGTCCGTACTAAAAATTTTTAATATAGACTCGAATCTCAGGGTAGCCCCCGTATAACGGTACCCTCCAATATTCGATATTTTGAGGATTTTGGATCGGTAATGCAACTGAATTGGCTGTAATTTAGTATTTTGGTTTCTGATTGAATCACACATGTCCGTACTAAAAATTATTAATATAGACCCAAGTATCAGGGTAGCCCCCATATAACGGTACCCTGCAATATTCGATATTTTGGGGATTTTGGATAGGTAATGCAACCGAATTGGCTGTAATTTGGTATTTTGGTTTCTGATTGAATCACACATGTTCCTATTAAAATTATTAATATTTTCCCAAGTTTCAGGATAGCCCCCATATAATAGTACCCTCCAATATTCGATACTTGGGGGATTTTGGACACATCTTTCTACCGAATTGGCTGTGATTTGGTATTTTTGGGCCCATACCAAATATTATTTATATTGACTCTAGTTTCAGGAAACCCACAGTATTCGGTATTTTGGATACGTTTTTCAATCAAATTGGCTATAATTTGGTATTTTGGATTCTCATATCGGTATCACCACATCTCCGCACTTAAAATTATTAATATTGACTCAAGTCGGTATTTTGAGAATTTTGGACACATTTTCAACCGAAT